AATCACAACAATAACAATCACAACAATAACAATAACGACAATAACAACTCTCTATAACTGGGTGTAATCAGTTCAGAACTAATTAGTTCTAATCTTGCTGATGATGAGTTCATTTATTTATTTATTTAGTTTATAATTCAAAAAACATGATTGTTTACATTCTCACATTGCCAAATATGACAATTTACAATTTAAAAAAGTCTAAATAAATAACTTTATCCGTCTATCCTCTTTTCCTTTAGGGTCAAACTATTCTTTCTTAAATTTAATAATCCTTTGTTTTTCCATATTGAAGGTCTATAAAGCAAGCAGTGGCAAAATAATAATAACAGTATTGTGTAAATGTGTTATTTTTGCACACAATACTTTTATTTTAAAAATCAACAACTTATGTCTAATGTCACCCTGTGATCAGGAGTTAGCTTAGGACGTGCAGATGATGGTGAAAATGTAAGGAATGTGGTTTTTTAAAAAATAAATTATATATACAATAACATAAAGGAATAGAAGAGCGAGAGCAAGAAAGAAGGAAAGTACAATATAAATGTGTAGAAGAGAAAGAAAGAAAGAAAGAAAGAAAGATAATGTATGCTTTATTAAATAAAACTGCTTTAATGAAGCGATTTTAGAAACTCACTCATGTTCTTTTCTGTCGCTGTGAATAGATAACGAAGCCATGAAGAAAATTCAGAGATTACAGCAGGAGGAATGAAGAACTCTGGAGGAGCACAGCTGGAGGAGCACCAATCAGATCATCTCAGAACTTTATAGATAGGAGGTGAAATGATCCACACAAGGACGTGACCCAACAGATTTAAAAAAAAAAATTTCAGGAAAAATGTTTCAGCAGTATCTCGATCTGGTTTCATGCAGGAAAAACACATTTTCAATAAAATCTGTCTTATTTTATTTCTGGATTTTTATAAAACCTTCCATACAGGAGAACATTCATTTATTTCTGAGATCATTTACATCATTTTAGATTTGGTCCTGGCTGGTTCATTAATATTAATTCATTAATAATTAGTGGTTCTTTATTATTAATAGTACAGTTTCCTTGTCTAATAGGATTTCCTCCTGCTTTTCAGTTTACAGGAGTGTACGGTCAAAGCTGTCCGATTTCCCCCGTGTCTATTTCTGTTTGTAGACGAAAGTCTGAGGAGATCGAGATAGCAGATCAGAGGCCTGATTTTAACAGAGAAGAACCGGCTCTGCAAATTATTGACCTTTCAAGGTTCAATGCCACCATCAAAAGCAGAGGGTGTGTGTGTGTGTATATATATATATATATATATA